GGGGGTTATTTTGCGCAAAACCCCCCTGTTTTGCACAAGATCCTTATGCCTCTCCGGGTAAATAATTTAGGAAGTTACTGATGTACTTTATTAGTTACCAAATTGATTCTTAATCTTTGCTAAAGGGTATAGAGCATCTTGCCTGTCAGTTTTTGGCTTGTGTAATTTCAGAGAGCTCTTGAGTATAACATACAATTTACCCAGGCTAATTAAACTACCATTCAAGTGATCGCTTCTTCCTCTATTCTCCCAGGTCAAAAGTAGGTAAGGAGCTAGATAGGGTCCGGTGTTATATAAAGCGCTATACCTTGTGTTAGCCTTATAGCGCTAGAATTGTAACTTCAGATTCCTAAATATGTGCATGGTGGGCAAAATCCTTCTCTAATGTAACTGGAGTAAGTGGGATTATGCTGGGGATGGATATACCTTTGGACTGGCATATCTAAATCTGTCTACATCTTTTTGCTGATTTTAAACCCTTGTGGTTTTAAGTCTAAACATGAAAAACTTGAGGATCTGGAAGCAAGTACCTTTTTAAGGGGAAAAAAAAAAGGACATCATCTGCTACTTATTTCCCTTCTTAAGTGCTAACATGACATTAGGACAAACAAAGGAAAGGAAACACAAATGTTCCCTGGGAGGGAACACTCTTGTGTGTAACATTTTTTAGAGAGGAGCACAGAGTTGTTAACTTGGACTAGTGGTCATCTAGACATGATTTAATCTGCTTCAGACTAACTTGAACATTTAAAAATGCTGCTATTATCCCAATATGTGGGACTGCTTCTGTTATAGCAAATCAGGACAATATTTTCAGTGTGAATAACCTCTTAGGAAAAAACTAAGCTCCATGCCAATGAGTTGTAAATTTATCACATTGTTTCACATTATACAATGATTCTGGTTAACTGATAATTTGACATGTTAGTTTCTGAGGGAAATGGCCTACATGACAAAATATTTAAAAAATATAGATGAACAACTGAATTCAAAATGTGGTACACATAATTGCCAAAATCAATCTTCTTCAAAGCTTCTCTTTACTAATCACATAACTTTTAATTTATTAGAAGGTGTACACAAAAATATTGGTAACATTATTAGATCATGCATGTTACTTTACAACTTAGAGATCACTGTTAAACTAACAATTGGAAATACATGTTCAATAGACATATGAGGATACAAAAGTACATACTCTTACTACTAGAATAAAACTGTGATGTCATAAATTACACAGCAAATATACCAGAACTCTACAGGTTGGTTGATGGAAAGATTGTCAAAGGAGGAAGAGAACTTCTTTAATTTCTCACAGCAGTAAAGTGGCTTGACATCAGGAAATACCCATGTGACTTGCCTCCTAACAATCTGAGGCAAGAAGAAGTTTGGTTAAGACTATATCCTTGCAGTACAAAACATTCACACATAACATTAACATGCATTGCAAAGCACTGGAGATGGGTAAAGCAAGGGAAAACCCATAACACAATGCTTTCTCACAACAATTCCAAGAAGGAGAATCCAGTAGGATGATATAGTGCATCATAGTAAGGCCACAATGTTACAAGTGACAAAGACCATAAAATTAAGCATTTTTTACTACTACTAATATAGCTTTTCCTCTAATATTATATAGATTTATACAATGTACCTGAATTGTATCTCATCATAGACCTTTTTCAAGTTTAACATATTGCTTGAAACAGTAACGTAGGATAGGTCACAGGGATATAAATACTAAATATTCACTGTAGGTTCTAGATTATATGCCATATGCAACCGCATGAAACTGATCTTCAAATGGCTAATCAGAAAAAAGGCTAGCAAAGGACTTCCTCAAGTTTCGGATGGTTTCAGCTTTTGCTTCATCTTCGTTTACAGATGATCGAAAGAAGGATGATTCTGTGAAACTGAAGGCATTTGTCAAAGACTGTGATTTGCTGCAAGACAAAAGCAACATGATTGGTATGTTCATATTGTTCTTCAACATGTACATATACTATGTCCATACAAATTATTTCCTGTGCAAAAAGGAGAAGCATCTATGGGTGGAAAAAAATGTATATATTCAAAACAAGAAGGACAAGCAGAGGCAAACAGTATAATCACATACAGCATAGAGAACAGCCGAATACAGCATATTTTCTTGCTAGTTGAGAAGGAGGCTATGTCACCTATACTTCTTAGAATATATTTGGTAATAATAAAACAGCTTATATTATTGCATGGATTAAAAGAATACGAAATCACCAACAAAACAGAAATGAGAGGACTACTGAGCCCAATTCACTTCTCTCTTTGACATTCTCTCCCCCAACAGTAACTGCATTCATTTCAGCAGCTTCCAGTGTAGGGATTCTCAAACTCTTCATTGCACTGTGATCCCCTTCTGGTAACAAAAATCACTACATAGAGGAAGGGGAGATTGAAGTCGGAGCCTTCCTGAGCCCCATGGCCCGGGAAGGGTGGAGAGGCAAAGCCCAAGGCAGAGGGCCAGTAACCTGAGCCTCATCCCCTGGACTGAAGCCCTCGGGCTTTGGCCTCAGTGGTGGAGCTTGGGCTTCAAGTTTAGCCCAGTGTTTTAGCAAGTCTAAACCAGCCCTGGTGACCCCATTAAAAATGGGTTGCAACCAATTTTGGAGTCCTGTCCCACAGCTTGAGAACCACTGCCACAGGGCGTAAACTGGAGTAAAGAAGAATTGGGCCTATTAAGTCAAATCCAAACCCAGAAAACCCTCAATTCAAGGTGAGTATCAATGCACAATGTTCCTTAAGGCTGCAAAAATTTGACACAAGGAGAAGCTTGTTACTAAATATTAAAAATTGAGTCCCATGTCTTCCGATGATTTATTAGATGTTTAATTCGTAAGTATGACTTAATGAAACTTTTATTTTGTGAGTGCACTTAATTTAAAAAAAAATAAAATCTGTAAGCAGATTTGTATTTACTGTAAGCAATTAGCCTAACAACAATAGAACCTCAGTTACAAACACCGGAAGTACAAACTGATTGGTCATCCACATCCCTCATTTGGAACAAGAAGTACACAGTCAAGGAGCAACTGATGACCCTCCGCCCCCCCAAACTCCAAATATAGTATAGTAAGTTCTATGTTAAATGTAAACTACTAAAAAGATAAGAGAAAAAGGTGTTTGAAGATGAGGAAACAGTGTCTGTGTATGTTTCATTTAAATTAAGATGGTCAAAAGCAGCATTTTTTCTTCTGCATAGTAAATTTCAAAGTGATATTAAGTAAATGATCAGTTGTAAATGTTTGAAAGAATGACAAAATATTTTGTTCAGATTTATGAACTGTTTAGAGTTATGGACAACTTCAATTTCTGAGGTGTTTGTCACTCTGACCTTCTGTTGTATGCTGAGGTGACTTTTTGCTGTAGTGCTAACATTAACTATAGCAAGTGTCTCCGTAAAATAATAAGTAAAATATATCTTAGTATACATGAAGGATAAAGTTTGAAGTTAAAACTATCCAATTCATATAATTTCAAGTGGAATAAATTTTTAAAAGGATGGGTTAAGTTAAAGCAAATGTTATCTAATTACAATTCACTAAATTTGTAAGCCTTTCAAAAAAGTATCCATTGCTTAATTGGTAAAGTAAAACTTTTGGGGAATGAAATTAACTTTGTCAGGTCTTTATCTTATCAGATCTCAAATAGAATTCAGTAGGAGACTGAGATTTGGCTGTGAATGCATTTCTCTAGTTTATATTGCCTCATACCCTGTGGGTTTCAATTTATCCATCTTTACAACGAGCAGTACTGAATGCATTTCAGGTTTTTAGTACATTGTAGATGGATTAAAGAATGATAAATATTTGTATTTGCACTAAGGAAAGGTAATAGGAGAGAGGCAAATCTGCAATTGACTTGATTAGTAACACAAAATAAATGGCCTAATTAAATATTTATTCACAGATTAATAACGTGCATGCACATGTTAAGCAATAGTTTGTGAATTATTCCAAGGCACGCACATGAAAATATATATCGTACAGTTAATCCCAAAGGCAGGGCATTTTATTTATGTACAGTAATCTGGTTTGGAGTAAAATTGCTTCACTAAAAATTGATTTAATAAACTAATTTTACCTCTGACAGAGGTAATGCCATGCTATACCACTAGTCTTCTAAAGCTTGCCAACTAAAAACAAATTGCCTTTGAAAAGTTATTTTTGATGTGAGAAAACTGGATGTTTCTCAGAGGGAAAAAATGCAAATCTATTTTGATGTAAATGGGGAGCGAAGGTACAAACAAATGGGGAGGGTTAGAAAATCATGGGTATGCAACATTTATTTTAAAAAGAATGCCAGGAAAATCTTATGTTGCAGACTGTTTCTGTATTCATCCATCTGGTATATGGAAAACTGTCATTCATGTCCTCTTGAGTCCAAGAATGGATTAATTTATCCCAGGACATAAGATCATAGAACAAGAATAGTGACATACAACATCCTATGAGACAGAGAAACAAGTTTCTTTGAGAAACAGCCACACTTGTCCCTTTTTTGAGTCACTCTTGCCTCCACTGACCCTCATGTCCTAATGTCATATGCTCAACAAATCCAACTCACTGAGCAATTAATGTGGTAAAGACTCTCAGGAAAGTCTGATTACAGGTGGGGAAGGGAGATTTCCTCACATTAGTTTTAGTATATTAGTGGCTAGAAAAAGGGAACTGGTCCCTCATACAGGTCTACTGTGTAATTAAAAAATCAGTCTAGTCTCTCTTTTGTCCAATTAAGACTATCCTAAGGGAAAATATATAATATCAGAGGATCCA